GTGGTTGATCTCCATCACCTTCCTCTCCATCGGCTACGGGGACATGGTGCCGCACACCTACTGCGGGAAGGGCGTGTGTCTGCTCACTGGCATCATGGTGAGCACCATCAATAGGATTGGGGGGGACACGGTGCTGAGCTCCCCTCCTCCTGCCCTCACTATGGGGGTCTGTGCACGCAGGGTGCCGGCTGCACTGCGCTGGTCGTCGCTGTGGTTGCCAGGAAGCTGGAGCTCACCAAAGCAGAGAAACACGTGCACAACTTCATGATGGATACGCAGCTGACGAAGCGGGTAAGACACACACCCCCATCCCCATCAACCATGGGACCATCCCTTTCTTCCATCCCTGATCCCAGGGCTCCACTGCTTCCAGGTGAAAAATGCTGCTGCCAACGTACTCAGGGAAACATGGCTCATCTACAAACACACCAAGCTGGTGAAGAAGATTGACCATGCCAAAGTTCGGAAACACCAGCGTAAGTTCCTCCAAGCCATCCATCAGTAAGTGCCAAACCTTTACCTGCTTCCTACCAGGAGGTTTTTCCCAGCAGATCCAGGCGCTTCCTTCCCTGGATCCTGGGGTTGGGAGCCAGGTTGTCCCTTGTCCCCATCCCGGCTGTGGGATGCTTTCCCAGGGGGTTTGGGATGTGGATGATGATGCTGGGGTGAAGCCAGGGGTACCCGATGGATGAGGATTGATGTGTCTGTGTTCACCAGGGAGCAGGGCGGGGGGCTGCAAGCCTCTGGGTGCCTCCTGCTTTGGTGGTGGGGGATTGAGGGGTGCCCAGCTTGGTGGGGGGACACTGCGGGGGGGCCCGTGCTGCGTCTGCTGTCGTCTCCCTGCGCTCTTCGTGGTGGTATTAAACCTGCTGTTGTGTTTTGTCTCTGTTCTGCCCTGTCCCTGCAGAGCTCAGAAGTAAGTTCACCCCTCGGGGCTGCTCCTCTCCTCCGCTGCTCCCCCGCGGCATGGGCTCCTTGCTGCAAAATGGGAGGGGGGGGCACACAGCAACACAGCTTGTGTGGGGCGAGGATGGAGGCTGTGCTTGCAGGGGGGCATGGGCTGCATGTTGGGGTGCTGGCGGGGGGAGGGCTCTATGGGGGTGTCACT